CCCCCCTGTATCTCCTATTTTTCTTTTTTTTTAAGCTGAGCAGCTGCCAAATCAACAACTCATCGATGTCTGCTTGAGGATGTAATCTCACACTTAAAGCTATGAATGACGCACGTGCGCGCACACACGCATGCACACACACTCCCTCACTCTCAGCTAGTGCTTGGTTTTGGATAGACCCAATCTCTGCAGTCCTGTATAAACAAATGACCTCTTCATTACCTCAAATGGCTCCACGTTACTGAAATGGAGCAAGCAGAATGCATTGCAGGAACGCTGGGAACACGGCAAAAGGCATCTGAAGAGTTTTAGCACAGCCTGGCGGCTAAATTCTGAAAATACACCAGGTCTGCCCCAAGGACTCCGGAGTACTGGTATGTGAGCTCTGGGTCTCAGCTAACTGCCAGGCAAGGTCAGGCCTGTTACGAGGTTTCATCTTCAAAACCAACAATCTGATACTGACAGTCACACTTATGACTACATTAGTACTGCCAGCCATGGTGCTGCACACCTGTGGGATTCAAGAGATGACCCAGCTGTAAATAGTTACATGCCTTTGCCTCTGAAAAAGGTTTGTTATGAAATTTCAAAATTTCAGTAATACTATGCATTGCTGATGCTGACAATCCTGAGTCTGAGGACATAACTACTTATTAAAACCCCGTTGTTCACAAAGGTTACAACAATAAGACTAATATTTTACAATAACTTGTACTAAGTACCCTTCCTAAATAATTATTTTATTGTCCCTAGAAAGGAGATCTTTTAATATAATCTTGCTTAGCATTTTGTAGTCATCATCCTTTCATTTGTGTTGAAAAGAAAGGTTGACAGATAAACCTTTTGTATAAAGCTTTGTTGTAACTTTGCTGTAACTTTAAAATTATTGGGTTCTGTTCTTCAGACTTATGTTTTTTTTTCTTAAGTAGAGATAATGCATCTAGAAATATACTGTACTCTGTAGCTGAAACTTTTCTTCTATTTTGGTTTTCCCTAGTCTAAAACACAGCATGCTGGTTCTTGGCAAACGGTTGCTTTACGTATGGAAAAATAGCTGTGGTACAACATGTAGAGCCCTCGGGGAATTTCTGATATTCTTTTAGAGGCAATCTGGAGATTGTACGTCAAAAAACCTGGGCATTTACAAAAGCAAGATGCCTTGTCGACAAGATAAGCATTGCTACTAGAGAGTTTTTCTGAGGAATGTTAAATAAAGGATATAATTTCCAGCTTAATGAGACACCTGTTTTGTGAAGAAAGTAAGAAACAATAGTGGCTCATCTCACACAAACAGCTCATGAGTTAGTATTTGACTTCCCTTCGTAGCTCCTAGCTCCACTGCCATGTGTCACAGACTCACTATCCAGCTCTGCTTGTGCCTCTCATACAAGATTTAACAGGTTTCCTGTTTTGCAGCAAAGCTTGAAACCCACTGCTTGCTTCAGTCCTCAGGCAAACTTCCCCCCAAGGTGATGTCCTGACAGTAGCAGTGAGACATGGGGCAGGGGCCCGCATAGACCCTCTGGGCCTGGTTCAGCCCCTTGGGCTCGCACATGTATCCCCCAGCTCCTTCCCAGCAGCTCAGTTCAGAGCGAGGGGGTGAAAGGGCTCCTGTCCCATTGGGCCATGAGCTCACTGCTGCCAGGGGCTGTGGGCTCCAACACCACCAGCCGACTTGGAAGTGGAGGAGGGGAGTTCATGGACACCGCCTGCATGTGTGAGTGGGAGAAGGAGAAGCACAAACATGCCCTGCAAGAGCCCAAATGCAGCAGTGGAAGTTACGGTGCAAGAAAGCAAACACCTCCTTGAACAGCCTCCCTGAGTGCCACAGCTCAGTGAACTGGCCATTTTTTGTGTTGTATAATGTTTACCTTGGGAACCATGACATGGCCGATATTCATAATGTACTGCCCCTGAAAAAGATTTTAATGTAACTACCTTGTTCATTACAGAGCACAACAAACATAAAAACCTAAACAAAAACAAATGCACAATTCATTCCCCGCTGCAGTTACCTGATGAAGCAGAATCTTGTGGAGACTCTGAGATCCTTCCTCTCCCCCATCTTTCCACACCAGACTCAACTAACACAGCACTGTTGCTTTTCCATACCCACTTTTATAGCAGCTTCCACCTAGAAAATTGTGGGAGAAATCCAGTCCCTTTAGTCACAAAAGCCCTTGATTACCCTTGTTTGTTGCTCAAAGTCGTCTCCCAACTGATCTGTTGCTTAGTTATTTTCATCCTGGACTTCATTCTGATCATAAAACACGTATCATCAGCAGCTAAGTCTTAGCTTGAGGCAGTTGTTACCAGTCTTCGTGCAGCTTAGCTCTACTTGAGAAAATAACATTTTGCATCTTTTTTTGCACATTTGTTTCTCATATTTTAGGCTATGCCAAGTCTCCAGTATACTCCAATGTTGTTCTTGCCCTAACAAAGCCAGAGCAGTTTATTAACCTGGGCTTCATGCCTCACAAGTAGCATGCTTCACTGTGTTGCTGGGAGACATAAAATTAAGCCTACAAGTGACTAAGCCAAGTAACTATGGGACATCTAGCATAATGACCATAATGACCACATGCTCTGTGTCACCACCCAGTGACTTTTTTGAAATTCAGATTACAATAGAGAAGGCAAAAAACCATCCCTTGTACATACATAGAGAGTTCCTAGAAGCAATCAGAACCTCTAAGATGTGTTAAGGCAGGCTCAACTGTAACAACTGGGATTTAATGAGATTTGATTGTGTGAAATGTTATTTAATTTGAAAATAATTAAAAGTCAAGAGCTCAGTTTATCCTCTTGCTCCAATAAGGAACTTTACTTCCAAAGTGTTTTACACTAGGCACATGAGCTCAGTTTTAATGTAAGGCTTTGTTTTTCTGATTTGGCTAATAGTGAAGACATGAGTCAAAATTTAACAGAGTTGAGGACTTTTCTGTCAAAACACATGCACAAATCAAGTGCTAAACTGGTGTACATTTTTTTAAAAAAATATGCAGACAAATTAACATGGAAATAATTCTAGAAAGCAGTTAAAGCAAAACAAAATAATCCAGAATTTTTACAGGCTGGGTACTGCAGAACCATTTTTTCAAGGAATAGCAGTGCACGTGCGTCCTCAGATTTTCACAAAATGAAAATTTGGGCCTAATTTTTAATTTGGCAAACATTTTCAGTTATTCCTAAAAGCCTAACTTCCATACCCTTACAATAGGTAGCTGCCCTGACCTCTTTACTACCTGAACTAGCTAGAGGGGCTTTACAGTGGCCAAATCTTAGAAGAAGAAAAAGAAGTTAATTGTTCTCTATCATCCAATGAGCACCAGTGTGTCCATCTGCATCCAAGGCTCTTTATCCTTCTGATCTTCAAAGGTATGCTAAAAATTTGCAATTTTGACATGTTCCTCTAAAAATAGACAACAAGCTTTGGGCCTATGACTTTTTTAGATTATCTTCACATTTAGTCTCAAGAACCTTTTTCTCCACAGGTAACCCCCTCAGCTTTGTTAGTTTATCCCCTAACAGATTCAGCTGCAAAGGCAGTTCAGCCGGCAGCCCTGGGGACTCCCACTGCCTCTGTGAGGGTTTGTTGCCACTTATTCAAGCAGGACTGCCAGTAAGCGCTTGTCTGAGCTGGTAATTGTGAATGCAATATTTGATCTAGAGTAACAGCAAAATCACATTAATGTTTTAACCAAGCATGACTGTGTATTTACATGTTAGTTACATGGCTCTCAAGTATTTTCAATTATGTTTTGTAAGGAGAGATTAGGAATATGCCATGATAAACTAGGAGCACTGAATCTGTTGAGTGACTGTTCCTGTAATGACTTACAGCAAATGAAAAATGAAGTTTCCTTCCTCTATAATGAGCAAATCATGACACTTACCTGCATTCATACACAGTTTTATAAGAATTAAATGGTGTGTTTTCCTACTGAAACTTGTAAATTTAATCCATGTATGACAGCACAAGATTTTGGGCATTTAGAAGAAAATGATCAGTTTGCAGAGTCGAATAGAACAAAATAATTTCCACCTTGTCAACTATCAATTATGGTTTTTATTTGTTCTAAAAACAGTAGGCTAAAATCCAGCAAGAAATAGTAAAAATATCAGAACTGTAACATACAAAACCTCATATTGAAATAAAAAAAACCCTGTACCAATTAAAATCTACAAGGTTTGGAGGAAAAGCGTCGAAATATTTTCCAATTCTGAAAACAGGTTAGATGCATTCATGGAAGCAGTCCCTTTAAATAACAGTAAGCATAAGAAATAAATGTGCAAGCACGCAGTATTTTAAGCTCTAAGAGTAAACAGACTGTGTTTTCTATCAGAATAATTGCAATCATTCAAATACCAATCTCCAAACTCTTCTCTGAACTCTCAGACTGATATATGTGGAGCAACAAGGACACCTTGAGGCAAGTTAGTAAAATGCAAAAATTTCCATTCCACATTGATATGGTAGGACTTACAGATTCTCCATACGTCTGAATTCCTTGGAATTGCCCCATGATGCAAATGATAAGTCCTTAAAACTGTTTGGCAAAGTCCCACAAGTTCCACAGAGTCTTATTAAAGCAGTGCTTGGTCAGCTCTCTGAAAATACTAGAATATATGCTTACCAATTAGGTTAATTTACTTGCTAATAGTTTTGAAGACAGACGCAAAGTTTTGCAACACACTGATCTTGTTCTGAGTTGCTTCTCTCCTTGTTACAGAAGTAAAAAAAAATTCCTCTTCTTCTCAACATAGTATTACACTGTACATATTTTTAAAAGAAAATGTATAAAAACAGTGAAAAGGTTCTTGAAGAAGTATAAAATGCAAATCTACACAAAAATTAAAATTTCACAGTTCTTTGTCACTCTCTGCAAGTTTCAAGTATTCCTTTAAAATTGTACCTTGAAAAACTGATATAACAGTAAACATTTTCAAAAAAAAAATGGTGGGAAGAGGAAGAAACATACTTATTTTACGATTTTTTGCACATGAAAAAGCACTTTTCTTTTAGTTTAGCCTCTTAAGTTAGAACTGGAGTTGTGGGGCCATTTGTAGAGCTTTCAATTCCCTTAGTGCTATCTACCGCCTTAGAATCATCACATACTTCAGAAAGCTCATTTTCCTCTGGCGTTGTTGGGATAAGATCAATAGTGATCAAATCAGTTTCCTGATCTGTTTTTTCTACTTCACTGCAAAATTCAACTTTATCTTCCTGTTGGCTATTCTTCTTTACTTGTCCATTCTGTGCAGGGTAGGTACTGGCAATGGTGTCATACAGAAATTGGTAATGTTCCTTAAATAGAAAGAGAAGAAGTTAGTACAAAGTGAATGGTCAGAGCCCGAGAATAAGCCCATTCTTTCTCTGTTTTCTTAAATTTTGAAATGTAGTATGTAGTTGAACATGTAATACTGCATATGAAGCAGCTTCCACAGTTTTTGGCGTACAGTGTGTTGCTTCTATGGTTTATTCTGATTTCAAGTGTATGTAATGTTTCTGTAACTGCCTGCATCAAAAGTTCCAAGTTGTCACTCAGCACCCTCCTGCTTTACAAAGTACCAAAAATATGCTCTTTACAGTGCCTAAGTTGTAAACAACATGTATTGTAAGGAGTCTAGGAAAGTAATCTAATAACCTGCCCCAGATCGATAGCACCTAGGTGTGGTTTGTTAGTAGATGCACAGTGTATACCACAGAGACACAATTCCTCTGGGGTAATTTAATCAAAACACATTGATGGCTGCTAGCCTGTGAAATAGAGTTAGCCTCCTAAACTGCACAAGTTAAGGGACACTGTGCACATGCATCCCTGAAGCAACTGCATGAATTTATGCAATTTATGATTTTATGATATGTACCCTTCCACAAAGGTGTTACAGAATTGCAGCTCTGGACATTTCACAGATTCCTTCATTCTTATCAGCAATGGCCAATTCCTAAATAGTGGAGAGTGGCTGTGAATGTCCTGATTAGAGTTAGGGTTCCCTATGCAGAAATTATGCATAAGGTTACAAGTGACCATGATAAGTAATCTCGTAATATTCTTACGGTGATTCTTAAGATTTACTTACAAAGGTGGAGACCACTCCCAGCCTGGTACGACGAAGAGATTTTACTACTTGGAAAACATCTATTACTTCTTCTATTTCTGCACTTTCCAAGAGTGTCATTAAAGCACAAAACACACCAGTCTGCTGTGATCCATCACTAGAAGATGATGTAAATTAAAAATGTGAAATCAGCAAGTCTTCTGACTAAATGTTAGATTTATTTCAAAGTCTACATAAAGAATTATATTTCCAAAACATTTTTTACTGGACTGAAATTATTACAGTTAAGAATATCTGTAGGACACACACAAGACAGCTCTAGATTAGAGGATACCTGGATCTCATGTGACCACTTTAGAGGTAAGAGAGGAATTAGAAACTTCAGACTTACAGTCTCAACATTTGTTAGCAGGGTTATCCTCTGCTTTAGATGGTAGCAAGGCTATTCCTGGAAATGGTCCTAAAAAAGTGGGCTTATGTCCTAGAACAAGAGATGAACCTAAAAGCTCTGCTGGATCCTCATTAGTAGTATGCTACAAGAGCACTCTGACCTAGCATTTCTTCTCAAACTATGTGTACCAGGCAAGAGCATCTAGCTCTGACCACCTATTCCATGTCCATGCTTGCTGAAGATACATGTGCTCACTTTTCACCTCTACAATCAAAAAGGTCAAGTTTGAGCAATTCAAGGAATCTAGGACTAGATGAGTCTCCAGACACAGTTAAAGGCTTGTGGGAAAAGGTAGACATCCCAAAACTGGGGTTGCTATGTATATTCAAAACTTAGAACTAGGTTAAGATACATGTTGAAGTCAGACCCACCAGCAGTGGACGATGAGCGGGACACTGCGGGTCATCCTGTTGTCCTCAGTGACTGGTCTGGCTGGGACTTTTTGTTTAAGGTTGAGAATCATGTTGACTAAATCTTTGGGGTTTTCTGGAACATCCAAGCCACTCCACTTGTGATACTGATACTGATACACCTTCTGTGTTTCTTTTGTCTGAAAAACAGCAGTGAAGATGTAGTCAATTCAGGTTAAAATAAAGATTCATGTAGTACATCTATTGCAGCTAATTTACACAAGAAAAATTCTGTTCCTGAAGAACTGCATGGTGGTGTGCATTCTACCTCATGAATACGAGGTACGTAGACATCTGAGCTTTGCTCAATGTACAAAAGAAAGCTGACCTCCTGAGACTCCACTACCACCATCTCAGCAATTCACTAAATGGGAAATTTGAGCTTATTTATAGCATATATCATGATTGGCTGCTGGTCTGGAAAATAAAAATACTTCCATGTCTTAGAGTAGGAGGTAAGTGGAGTGGGAACCATCCCTCCTCTTTAGGCTAAGTTTATAACAGAGAAATAAATTTAAAATTTCCTTTTGGAATTTGCAAAGAAATCTACCTTCAGATGTGTAACATCAAATGCACGTATGGTATAGCTAGGACAACAGTTGACATCTGTCGTTTGAACTTCTATGCTATCATACGTTTGCTTTCCTTCACCCCAGTACTGTGCACAGAGTTCCTGAAATGGATAAAAGTACAAGTCAGTGCTTACCATTCAAAACTCCTTTTCTTTTATCTTCCATATGCACTTACAGAATGTATTGACTTTAAAGTAGTAGGAGCATTATTGTATTTTAAAATATAACATCATTCACTTTTCCCCTCTAAAATTCATTAGAAAGTAAAATAAGAAGGTAAATAATAGAACAAATTATACTGGAAATCCAAATTCCTCATCCTGTAACACACACTTAACAGGAGGAAAGGAATGAGAGAGTGCAGTGCAGTGTTTTCTTTGCATATAGAGGACCCTTAATATGTCAGTGTGAAGATGATGGCCTCACCTGATCTCCTTCTTTCAACTCTGTCAGCATAACAATGACTTTGGCTTTTCTTTGGAAAACCATTTGCCAGAAGTCAGAGACAGTTTCCTGCAGTGGTCCCTGTGTGGCAATCATGGCTTTTGGACCCCAGTAGCCCTATAAAAGAAATTTTTAATATTTTTTTTCTGAAATTTATTTGAAATGTGATTTCCAAGCAACAAAACTCAGTGTCATTTAAAGAATACCCAGTGAAATAAATAATGAACTGTTTTGTTTATATGGAAAACACGCCTATCACAGTGGACAACGGTCTTACAGGAATTCTACGAGCCAAATGACATTAAACTCAATCCTCCTACCAACAGTATCACTTCCAGATTGACAACAAGGTATACTAATACAATTTTCTGCAAAGTGTATTTTTAAGGGCTAAAACATTTAATTCTGCACAACTAATTAATTTGACCTTAACAAATTAAGTTTATACCACACAAAAGTTGGTGCACCAGTCAGCTCACACTGAGGTACCCAAAAGTAAAAATACATTTATTCTGAATAGATATTCTAACTATGCAGCATTTTAAAGGATTATGGTAAATCACATTTGGCTAGTAATTCCATTAAAATCCATTACTTCATTAGTGACCAATATCTGCTCTCTTTCTTTTGAAGGTATATATGATGCCAAAAAACGGGTGGTCCCAATTTTCACTATCAGTGTCCTGTATATGTGAATAACTATGCTCATGTTTCACTAACAGGGAAAATATTAATATGGATCAACTAGTACATAGGCAGATGCCCACTAACAGAATTACACGTCATCATGAGGCCAGTCTGAGAGCTAGTGATTTTAAACATCACACACACAAAAAGCATTTCTATGTTTAGTCTCACTATTTGAGATTGCACAGTCTAAGACCATGTAAGGGAAAAAGATTATTCTTGTTACTGCAGCAAAATGTAGAAGATTTTGATGATTAAAACTATAAATGGATTCGTCAATTGACAGATCTTTCTCCCCTATTTGGGTAAATCCTATTCTATTTGTGAAGCCAATAAGAGAATAAGAGCTCAAGCTAGAATATAGTTTTAGCTGAAAGCTTGTGAAATACTTATAGTGGATCCTCTAAATACATACAGTTATGAAAGAAGCATTGATGTATTTGCTTGATTCTTCAGAGTCGCTGTCCTCATCTGAGGAATCATCTGAATCATGTTCACCCTCCCTACTGTATTCGTCTTCGTGCCTGATTGGCACTCGGTTAAAGTCATCTGCATGAGACAAAGTGTCACTGTCATGCCACACTGCTGACCATTCGAGGTGAGCTGCCTCCACATGTGCAGGGGGGAAATAGATAGTAAGAGGCCAGCCCTTTCACAACAGACTGAACAGACTGTAGAACAAAGGCCACTTTATTTGAAATAAACTTAAACACTCCAAATAATTCACATTTTTAAAAACTCATCTCTTCCTTTTTAAAACACTATAAGAAGTTTCTAATTTTACAGTGTTGAGAAAATTAATCAATCAAATACATCTCAGTTAATATACTGTCCTCAATTTTTCAAAATTTAGTAAGTTTTCTTACAAAAGATAACATAAAGGAAGATTCATGGAAAATACTTACATGGAATTATGTTGGCATTCCTATTTTTGCTTTTATTTTCCTCACGGTTCCCAGTGTTCTGTGTCCGCCACCCCTTATAGGAAGGCAATCTCTAAAGAAAGAGGATGTTTGCTTGATTAAAATGGTTCTTGCGATCATTGTGTCCTCTGGACACCCACAGCCAGTCTTCATCTCCCAGTGCCTCGCTTCCTTTAATTCTTTAAACTTCAGCCACATCTGGACTATAGTTTAAAAATGCCTGCTATGTCATATACAATGGCAAAGGAAATCACACACATAGACACAAGTAATCGTTCTATGCTCCTTATCTTTGTTAAAAATATTAACATCAAAAGCAGGAATAAAATTTCATTAGTTTACAGCTTTTTTCATGAAGGTAAAGAAACTGTTTCTGTGACAGAGAAATAAAATATCACAGAAGTGATCTATCACATACGATATCTCATGACTATTGTGCAAGGCACCTTCTGATGTAAGTGGGAAGTAAGGGCACTAGAATGCAATGTTTATTTACCTGAAACTCTGCCTCCAGCAGAGAAGGATCACTTGGAGGATCTTTTCTTTTCAGATTGTTAAGATAGGAATGCAGTTCTGAGAGGCTGACCTCTGTTTCTCCATACTGATTATATTCCACTAGTGCTTGATGAATAAGGATGTACTGTGACTGGTGTTTTCCATTTGAAGGGTTTAAAAATGAAGTTATTAAAAGAGTTAAAAAAAAAAAATCTAAAAATCATATCACTTTTTAGAAACATTATAAGAAACTATTACTCCCATGATGTTATTACTGTTAAGAATACTAAGCATTATTTATAAATAGGCATTAAGGTAAGTATTAAAACCAGAGTGGTTTCCAACTGGACATTTTGGAGCACATTTAGAATGTTGGATGAAAAGTGTTCTGCCAATAAATATAATGACTTTCAAATCTAATTGAATATCTCTTGAAAGATCTGTAAAACGTTTAAATAAGTCAAAAACATGCAGTGCATCAGTCTGCAACTTTTATTGTACTGTCAACAAAAATGAAAATCCCATCTAGACAGACAGTTTTTAGAATTTGAAAATTAAGTTCGACTATGCAAGCTGTTTTGCATTTGTGAATTGTATGACAAAAACTGGATTATCAATACAAAAATGTTCTTCTTGGCTTCTTTTTTTAAATTGTAAACTTTAAAAGTTGAGGTTTCTAACAGCAAGCTTCTTTTGAAAGTACAGTCACAGAAACTCTAATTCACTTTAGTTTTTCCTCTCTCTTAATAATTTCCAGAGCTATATATTCTATCTTCAACTGAACCATAGCAGTACCCAAGACTGAGCAGCACACTTTGAGAAATACTGAGAAAGCCCTAACAAAGAAGAGTTCTAAGTGACAGGAGTTTCAGCAAGATACCTCTACTTGAACCATGAGGCACCGCTGCCGACGCAACTTCACAACATAGCCATAAACATCCACTCTGCCTTCTGCATCCAGCCCCTCCAGCATGGCATCAATTCCTATATATGTCCCAGTGCGCCCAACACCAGCACTGCAAAGCACAAAGGGATTTGATTATCAAAAGGGAATAGCACCTCCCAGTCCCACTCAGAAAGAGGAGCAGCCAGTGAGAGAGCAAGAGGGAAAATGTGTAACAATTGGACATGAAGTCACTGAAAACAGTTCTGAAAACAGTAAGGCCAATATTGCCAAACATGGTGCTTAGAGAGAGTAGCCAAACATTTATCTGGCTACTTTCCAAAAGTTCAAAATCTGTGTATCCTCAGATTTTAGTGACCTGAATGTCATTCAGATCCTTCAGAAAACAGGCTTTTTTACACATCTGTGGCTGCCTCACTCTCAAGTAATCAAGTCACAAAATTTGGGATCGGCCAAATACCTTTGCCAGCTCCTTTTTCTGACTAGCTTTACTTCATGTTCATTTAACATAAACAACATTTTAAAAAAGCAACATATATTTACCTGCAATGAACCACTATTGGGCCACTAAAAAAGTTGCTAAGAGCATTAACTCTGCGTCGGAGTTTGAGAAGGAGATGTGGATCCTCAGGGACTCCGTGGTCTGGCCAGCTTGTGAACTGAATATGAGTGACATCTCTTCCAGCTGTTCTTTCTCTTCCCTAGAAAAAGTGAAGTGTGGTTTTTTTTTAATATATATACACACACACAAAGCCAAAATCAAGTGCAGATATACAAAGCAGAAGTAAGAAATTCTTACTCAAAGTTGAATTATCCAGTTGTGGCAGTTATTCATACCATTATTTGCCATTGTTTCAGTAATTATATATCCCTATTCCAGCAGAACTGCAGAAGTCTCCACCTTCTCACCAGGGACCACTCTTAAATTCCACAACCAATATCAGTTTTATCTATATTAATATGATGTCAGCTGAACAGAGAGCAGACATCTCTAAAAATATCAGTCCTCAACCTGCAGCAATCTCTCATTTCTAAAGCTGACATTAGAGTCACAAAGCAGTGTTTTATTAGTGGTTAATTCTTAACATCCTGATATTCTCACTTTCTTCACACTAAGTTACAACTTTCTATCAATCAGACCACTTCCTGATTAAATTTTAATGCAACATGAGACAGCAGAATAGAGATTTTCAGCTGTAATCATGGATCAAGATGGGTGGAGTCTATTGCCTGACTATTTTGCTGAAGATCTGTCGGCAGGTTTACTCTTTGAGTCTTAATGCTTTTAGTTGACTTACATTCCATTTACCCTCACTGCAATATTTTCGCAAAGGGCCTGAGAGGAGCATTTAACTTTAGATGGCAAATTTTGCTCTCGATTACGCACAAAGCAACTAGTATGATTTCAGTTGTATAAGAGAGCAATTAATCATCCTCAATGATTCTACACATAGCCAAATGGTAATTATAAACCGCTTATGATTACTAAAGCACTTTGTAATTGCCCCACTGTACATTATCATGAGGATAGACAATGGTGTCTATGAGTCATATTGGTTTTACTTGCGGGTTATGCTGAGATACACATAAACTATTAAAATTTCTGTGTTAAAGAACAAGCTAAATATCCAAGGAAACCACAGTGTATTAAGTTTTCCATGCTTAACATCATATTAACAGTTTCCTCTTAAATGTAGATTCCAGAGTAGTAAGGAAAATACATTTTTAAGTTGGGAAATATATTTCTAACCCATATTTCCTTTAAGGAATGACACCTACATCTAAGAAGTTTGCTCTTAAACTATATGTTCCTTAGGGAAAAACAGTAGACCATCTTCCATTGATAGATGACTCTTCTTCTCTTGAAAGGATCTCTCAGCGATACCTACAGACTCCAAATAGACACTCCAATTCCAGTCAGTCTTACACTTCAAAATCAAACTTACATTTGTGATGTGTAGTTTCTGAATGACATAGTCTGGACATGTTTTACTTCCATTGATCTTCACAATGATGTCCCCATATGTTGCAGATCCATTCTCCATTGATGGCCAGTACTGGGCACATTTGTTCTGTGAAGATACGAAGTTAAGTGAGGAGCATGACAACAAAGTGGCAGAGAGCTGAGAGCTTGAATAAAGTCTGATTTAAAATAGATGGCAGTTCAGCGTAGTTTTTCTGACTTGTCACCAGTCTTGTTCTCTCCTGAAAAGGGCTGTCACTGCTTAGGATGTCAGTCCTAAATAATTCCAAATTTCCAACAGTTCTGACCTGAAGTTTATACCCATGGAATTTAACTTGGAACATAAAGTGGGGAAAAAAATCCTGTACACTAGTTGAAAATAGCTAACTGTTGCTGTTGTCTGAAGGCTGTAGAAAAGTTTGCAGTTACTTCTATGGCTTCTTTTTCAGTCTTCAGTGAGGAACATTACTCCTGCCTGCCAAAAACATCAACTTGGGGACGCTGTAAATCTGCATGTGGCCAATCTTTTCATTTTTAAAAGCAGCTAAAACAGCAGTTCCCCTTCTTCTTGCTGTACCTGGAATAAGGAACAAAAGCAAGCCAGAAGCACCCAACCTTCCAGTTAAAGGAAGGAGAAAGACAACAGATTAAAAAAATATTCTGTCTAGGATTTACTGGGGGCATTGCCAGGATATCAGAAGATAATAGATGGGAGAAAAATACAAAATATACCTTTTATGAGAGGTCTGTAAGGAGCTAGAGTTTTACCTTATGCCCTTTTCTGGATTTATTAGCTGTAATTGGGAAGCTCACCCTCTGGTAGTAACAACTGTGACTAAAGTGACTTTTTTTTGATAAAACTAGTAATTCCATAAAGCAATGCTGTTTTGGCATGCTTTCCAACAAAGGTTCTGCCACAATGAGAGAACAGGAAAGAATAAAAACACAATACTAAGAAGAAAATGTAATTCACCACAGCACAGCAACCCATTCTGTTTTCAGGCAAAATAAGAATGGAAATGTGGATGGATGGATGGATGGATGGATGGATGGATGGATGGATGGATGGATGAATGGATATTTCTCACCCTCTTTCCTTCTTCACAGCGAGTCACCATGACAATAATTGTTGCCTTCTGTTCCCAGATCATTCTCCAGAAATCATCTGTGGTTTCATCCTTGGGGCCTAGCAGAAGATATTTTAAGGGAGTTTTTCAGGGTGCAGCTACATGAAAAAACACTTGCCTTCTTGACATGATTAGCCATGCAGTCTGAAAAGCTAACCAGAGATCATGCAAATAACAGCCACACACTTGATTTCATTATGACTGCTGCCATTAGGCTACAACATTTAAAAAGTCTCATATATATCTTTAGTGCATAGCTGTGAAATCTGAAAACTTTTGATGTAAAGCTATGCATCATGAGGAATCTGCCTTTGAAGTGCAATCTATTCAAATTCACAAATTCCCTAAGCAAAAACTCATTGGCAACTTCTTCAAATTAAATTTGAAAATGTCAGATTTTCAATTTTTCTTTAAATTCGAATACTTTTTTACTACTCTCTAACAAAAAAAAATATGCATGAATTAAGCAAAGCTATTATTTTAAGGTTAAAAATTACCTTGTGCAGCAATGTATTTTCTTGGTTCTTTGAAGCCCTATAAAAAGTACAATGTTTAAAATTTTTAGAGGGAAAGCATGAACAACTTAAAAGATTTACAACTTTAACAAGGAATTCAGTATGCAACAGTCCAATAATACCAAATACATTACAAAGATTAAAAGAACCCGAATGGAAATCCTCAAAGGTGTTTGATGCATGAAATGTACAGACTACAGTTTCTTCAACAGTGCCTAAGACTTTTTTCAGTAGAAGTCACTCACATCAATATAACTTGCATTGATATAATCTGATCCTGGGTCTCCTGGGATCTCCGAGAGCTCAACACGGTTATGATCATCTGTTTAAATCATTTAAAACAAAATAACTATATTATCTCAAGGCACTGAGAAAACAACTATTTATAAAACATGCAAAAACTGTAGCAAATACTTACATGGAAGGATATCAATGTAACGGTTTTTGTTCTGATTATGGCTTTTTTTGGCCTCCTTTATTGAAAATTTACTGAAAACTCTAGGAATACTCTGTAAAATACAATGTTACTTTTATTAGGTAAGCATATATTTAAAATAGCTTCTACTTGCAGTCAAAAGCATATGGAAGAAATTTGGTGCTACCGAATCTGGATGATAACATTCTGTTTCACAAGATACTACTTCATATATTTCTTATATATAAAAAACCAAATTTATTTTCCCTTAAATAATATGTCTCCACAATTATAAATTATTTATATCCCCATGGCTATACAGTAAGAGAGAGTACTAAAAATATGCATTAAAAGATAATTTGGAATGAGAAGTATTTAGACTGTATTTTATACTTCTGAAAACCACTTTCAGTAAAACCAAAAGTACCATCATCCTATAATAAGGAGAGCTTGGTAGCAAAATTAACTGAAGCCTATTTGACCTTAGATGACAATTCACTCAATTTTCTAGATTCTTTCTTTCTTTCTTTATAATCAGTGCATATACTTCAAACAGAACTCTCTTGAACAGAATTCTTCCAACCACCTGGCTATAAATCTGTGGTATATTTTGAGCCAATGACAAACCTGAAATTCATCCAAGAAAAGTCTTCCTTCATCAGCAATCTTCCTTTTGTATGTGTCCAGCAATTGCTCTGAAGGTATTGGCTCTATATTCAGAAGTTGTCTGTCATCATCTTTAACTGTGCAAATACATTGAACATTTATTCTTACTGGCTTTGAAAACATAAATTACATTTCAGTAAACGTGATTCTCGAATTGTCATACAAATTAACAAAAGGACAAACCTCTTTAACTAAGCATGTTTATTTTAAAAAAAAAAAAAAAAAATGGTGTTGCCTGAGCCAGTTGTGAACAAACAAGACCTAGGAATAACAGAATTTGTTGAGTTCTGCTGCTTGACTGGAAACACCTCAGGAGGAGGCCACATGCAGGGACACTGCATTAACAGTGCTTTTGTACGAAGTGACAATTGTCACATTCAGGTTACTGCAACAGCCCCGACATCCACAGTAGTGACATGGCCTTGTCCTCTACTTCGATTCTGATCATTTATTGTCAGTGGTAAAGTGGATTACTGTGCAAGCAACTTACCAAGGTAGCAACATGTATAGCCTACTTCTTCAAATTTTCTCCAACTTATTCTCTGAGTTGCAATAAACTGTAATATCATCTTTAATGGTAAGTTAATGATTGAACAAATTTTAACATCTCTAAGTAGACATTTATTAATTTTTCATTTATATTGAAATTACTTTTTTAACAACCATGTGCCTAAGCAAATGGATTTCAATATCAACACAGTATTACATCCCATTTAATGTAGTTAATTTCTGTGGGCTTGAGTGTCATAATTTTTTTTTTTTTCCTGAAGTGTTCTGGTATTGACTGATTCTGCCCTTCATAGGCTTTGAAACCTTGTGCAAAAAAATAGCTCATAATGTTTGGTTCCAGTCTTTGGGATTTGAAAGCCTTCAAAATTTTGTAGCAAAAAACAATTGGCTTATGTTTAAATTCTTGCTTTGAAAAAAGTGCACAGGAAAGGGAAATTCTGACTGAAGCTATATTTGATTCTGGACTTACTCTGTGGGTTAAACATATCACAACATTGGGATAAAAAAATTGTGTTTTCAATTAAATAGTAAATAAGAGTTTTTCAAACAGTGATAAACTTTCAGTCTGTTTAAGTATGAATGCTTCTGCTATGTATTTACTGAAGGTCTTTTTCTCCAAATGAGGTGTCATCATGTTGACATCTGTAATCTATGCATACAACTTAGAATGTAAACAAACCAAAGGTGGCAGCAAGACACGTGACTAATTTTATTTCCACTTGCTAAATATATAAAGATGCTCACCTGCAACAAGGTTCACACCTTCAGAAGAATTGCTGTAAAAAGAAAAAGCATCTGTAAGTGCTTTGACTAGTAAGACATATATATGATAATGAGCTAAATAAAAGCAGTTTTGTATGTGAACACCAAGACTGTTCATAACCAGCAGACCACATTACAAGCTCTCTGTGAAACAGAAGTGCTACAGATGGGACTTACAGACCCTATGCAGAGGTGGTTGGAATCCTTGTCTTCATACTCTGGATACTATTGAGGGGGAGAAGCAAGGGAACCACATCAAACACCTTTACCACCTGCACAATTTTGTACATATCACCTGCAGCAAACATCGTCAATTTCTTCACTGGAGTGACTGCTCACACCATCTTTGTTTCTTTTGCTAAATAAGCGACAAAAAGCCTAACACATACATAAAATATAATGAAATTAAGTTTAAATGCTAAGTAGCCAAGAGCAAGCTGGATGCTCTGGAGCTGTACAAGCAAAAATTAGTTCTGCTTCCCTAAGCATAAAAGTCTGCATCTGCGCAAGAGCAGCTCCCTATCCCCCTAAGAGGAAGAGCAGGGAGAGGAAAGGCACTGGAAGAGATGGGTCCCCAGTTTCTGCTGTTGCCAGAAGGCTGATAGCTTTCTGAAGAAATTGCCCTAACTCATCCATCTCTACCAGCAGCAAATGCCTCCTCACACATTGCATCATCTCCCTTCACAGTAATAGCAGCAGTCAGCCTGGCTTTCCAGGGCTCTGGGCACAGTCATCAGGGAAGGCAATGATGACTCTTCTATCACTATCCACTGTTCTACAGAATTGCCAAGTCACCTAGAGATGACTACAATAAACAAAGCTTCCCTGAGATATTGTTCCAGGTGAATAAGCATTTGAAATAGTTCCAGGAAAGCGTGTATTATTTTCATTACTTTTAACTTAAATCATGAAGGAAAGGTTTTTCGGATATTTGTGAATATTTTTTCACAACACTAGTGACAAAACATTTTGTTCTTGCAGATCAGTTCTTCTGTACCTGGAGAAAGGGTATAGAAGGGAGATTTTCAATCTACTTCACTGTATTTGCACTGCTAGACAAACCACCAAAACCTGAGTTCCTTCTGAAAGGATTAAAAAGGATGTCTTTTCCCCATATTAATATCAAACTCCTAGGATTTTTGCACTACTCATAAGGAAAACTTGTGCAAAAATAGAAAGCCTCCACCCCAACACCCATTTATATAAGACAGGGAGAGAAACATGAAGCTTACCTAAGCTTTTTTTTGTGAAGATCATAGATCTTGTACAGAACGAGTAGTAAAGCAATTGATGTCACAACAATCAAGAAGGCCAAGAATATAATCAGGGCTTTAGAATTATCTAGCAACAGAAAAAGAATACATTTATTATTTCTTGACTATATAATTAATGGCATTTAAAAGTCACTTTTTTTTTTCTTTTTTTTTAATATGTACCCTTCCTAGAACCAGGGTTCATTGATATTTTTTCTTTGTGAAAAAAAATAAATAGTTATTTTTAAGTCTTTTATTTAAGTTTTTTATTCCAAAGTGCCAAAAAATTCCAAAGCTCACAGAAGAGGAGGGAATTTTATTTTTTCATTAAGAAAACTTTCACTTAAACCCTCCATGTCCACTTGTGAAAATGCTACAACTCACTCACTGGTTTGGCATTACCACATTTGTCTTCTGCTCTGTGTGACCTTACACGTGAGCAGTGGAGTTCTCAGCTGCTCCTGATCTGGGAGTTGGGAATCATTGACAAGTCACAAATGTTAAGCTCCTGAAACACAGGATCTGAACACAGGAAAATAATCCTAAAGTGAATAATTTAAATTAGAGAAATTATTTTCTAGTTGCATTCAAATGTTTCCTGAAGAAACCACAGCTCTGAAATAATTCTGAATTATGGTCAATGATGTGTTGATATGATCTGTTGCATTAATACTGAATGAGAATATGATTTTTTCCAATGAGGTCAACTATTAACTATAAAAACAGGCAGTTTGGATTTTTAAATAGGAGCAATTTTAATGGAATTCACAGTTCACACTGTTGCCTGATACTATGCTAAAGTCTGAAAGTAAAAATGCTGTATATATTTACTTACATCTGGTTCTTATACTCTTCTTTACTGGATGCCCTCTATGTTCTCCATTATACACTAAGATCTGCATGCAGTGGGTGAGAATAATAGAGATGCTAAGATATAACAACTCAAAATTTCTGAATATTTTTTTTTAAAGAAAAGCACAATGGATATTTGAAATACATCCCTCTATTTTCCATTAATTCACCTCACTGTCAATCTTTGTATAGCCATTTATAGTGCAGTTCAGGATTCCACCTAACTTACAGCAAAACCTAGATCCAAAAATATGCAGAAGACCGCAAAAAAAAAAAAAAAAAGTTAGTGAAACAGCAGACACTTTTTACAAAATCAAAATCAGAGGTATCTGAAGGAAAAAATCTTATTTCTCTCTTATCAGATCTCTCAAATCTGAAAAATAACCATGCAATATGTAATGAAACACCATTATTTTATTTGCTTCAATAGTAAATATACAAATAGTCAAACAAATTGGATATTTTTCATACAAATTCCTGTATGGGAAGTAATTCATAAAAAGTTAAATTATAGAAGCCAAAATAAAATTCTAAATAAGCTTCTTTCTTGCAACATTAACTTTTGGGTACTTTAACTGGTGTTAAAATATTAAATTTGTTTAGATGTGTTTATATTTCATAATATATTTTACATTTATTCAATCTTTTAAATTTCCTTAATAAAAATTCCTATCAGATCTAAAAGTCAGCTTGAAGCTTGTACATCAAATATTTCACACTGTTCTTTTGAAGAAAAATTAATCTTATGATTAAACAATGATGTAATATTAAACAGTGGAGGATAGTAACAGGATTGAAGAACAGTGACTTTAGCAGTAATATTCCTCTGATGCAAGTCATCCAGAAAGGGAGGAGAGGGGCTTTCAGCACCACTGCTGACTGCAGGTTGAGTTCTTTTTGAGCCTACCTAATCCCTTAACAGAAACCTCTCCTGAAGATTCAGAGGACTGTGCCCCAGCTCATACCCGCTGCTCTAAAAGGTCAAATTGTTCACAAGGTTGATGGTTTCCATACTCTCTGCAGCTGGGAAGAAAGCCATGGCAGGTGACAACATCCAGAGGAGTAGAGGAGGTGGCAGAGAGAACAAGTAAGAAGCTTCTCAAATAGAGAAAACCAGAAACCTAGTGCAACAGTAGGGGTCAAAACATCACTAAACCACAAAGTATTCTGGGTAGACTCCTGTTTATTCCCTGAACAATTCAGTGTGCAGACAGAAGGGAATCATGACATCTGCCAACTCTCACAGATGATCTGCTTTTTCTTCTTGAGCCTTCCATAAATTGACCCAGAATCGTTTCATTACTAGTTAAAGCCATAAGGCTTTCTCTGTTTTTCCAGTAGCAGTTGAACAAAATAAATTCAATGCAGAAGCCAGGGTTCAGGGCCAAGCAGAAGCTAATTTCTTCTGTAAGGCAAACTGCTCACTGCAAGTGGTGTACAAAAAGCTTACAAGAGTGCAGGGGCCTTAGACTGTGGAGGCAATGCAAGCATCTTTTGCTCCTACAGGACCTTATCTTTGTTTTCCAAATACAAGCATTTCTGAGCAGAATTTGTCAGAAAAATATTGACTAAGGCTTGGAACAAAACCTAGACTACTGTAGTTCTCTGATACTACATTTCCTCAAGACACAGAGCAAAGAGGAAAAGATTGTGGAAAATGAGTGAAACTGGTAATAAAGTAATAAAACTCTCTCATTACTACTGTTTACTTTTTTACCTAGTCTTTACTGAGAAGAGCTATCAGGATATAAAAAAATATTCCTGCTGGCTACATTAAGGGGATCACACAAGACCATTGGCTTTGCAAGCAACAAATGCCAAAAGGGTGAAATGCCTGAAAGAAAATAGCAGGAGGCCTTCAGGAAATTGAAGCTTGTAAACAGAGGATGATATATTTTGTATGGAAACAAGGACTGGCTTGTAAAGGCTGATGTAAGGACATGAGAAAGGGTCTGAACTGCTTTACAAAAACTAGTCCCTGAAGCATCAAAAATCCTCACAGGGGAAAATTCCGAACAATTTATTTCTGAGCAATTGTCTCCAGACAATTCCATATTTATCCTCTGATTGAAATGACAGTCAAACATTCATCAAATGAAATGTGCTTTAAACTCTAAAATACCAGTTATACTTAAGAAACTATCTTAAAACTTATGGAAACCCTAGATTTCTCTCCATCCCAAGTACAATCTATCCAGTTTGTATTTTTCATGCTGTCAGAACCTATGTTGAATAGAACACAAGGGACTGATTGATAGGCTAGGCACATATGCATTTTATTTCTGAAGTAATAGCTACTTTACATCTATGGCCTACAGATCCATAGATTAAGTCCTCTGCCACCATATTTGCCTTTTTTTCCTAAAATCAAGTATAACATGCTTAAATGATGAAAATACAGCAATATTTTATATGTTTAACTTAATAAGTCTACTTACCGTAAATGTATAGTTTGTCAAGTATAAGAGATTTCCTTTTGTAAAATCACAATTACTGTCACTGGAGGCATTTGTTCCATCATTTTCCCAAGTCAATTCAAATACTGTTTTTGCTCCATACACTTCTTGACTTCTGCACTTAATTTGGACAGTATTATCAGCTATCAATGTTGCATTAACATCAGTCACTTCCTGTGGTTCTGTTCACAAAAGAAGTGTTACTGGTTCTATTCTCATCATTTCAAACCAAACATTTCAACATCTGTATGTGTTCATGTCTGTTTGTTATCTTCTGTCTTAATGATTTCATGCATTTTCTACTGGAAAAATGTCAGTCCCAATTTAACAAGATAAATAAAATCAATTTTGAGTTAACCACAGGCTTATATGAACTGGAAAAGATGTGATGTGGAACTGAAAAGGCTGGGAAGATCAGAGCTCTAGTGACAGTCAGGCTACAAAGATAATACAATGGCAACTATCGCTCTTGCATGTGACATGACTTTCTCATTTAGGGAGCATGAGACAGCAGAAAAGATGGGAAAAAACAGTTTTCTCTGTGAGCAAATGTTTCAAAACTCCTGTAAATTAAATTTCCTAAGAGGATTTACTAATATATTTAATAGTTGGAATAGTATCCTTTTGCTTAAAGTGTCACATCGTCTTAAAGCTGGCCTAAATCACAAAAACTTTTTATTTTTTAATGATAAGGAATCTGTAAAGTCTAATCTGTGTTTTCTAACTTTAACTTTGTATGCTGTAGCAAATGGGTTTCAGACTGGGGGCACAGCCCAAGGGACCTTTCATTGAGAGCTTATGAAACTTCTCAGAAAGTAAATAACCTGCATAAGACAGCTACATTAGCCATATTTCAGTAGAACATCACCATGGAAATTCTCTTCAAAATCACTTCAATTTGCAAGCTAATTAAAAAAAAACAAACAAAAAAAAAACCCCACAAACAAACAAACAGCAGTTTCTTTTTTCTTCATATGAAGAGCTAAGATGTGTGAGGCTTGATGAGCAGATCAAATATCCCATGTGGGGAGCAGCAGGATATTTTACTTGTTTGAGTGTGTGGTTACAGCATATCTGCTCATTTTTACCCACAGGGCAGGTTTGTTAGATTCCTATCCAGCATAGCACTGAAAGAGTTGTGACAAGGAGAAAGTGAACATTTCTGGAGGCAGTGTGTTTGTGGAAAATGAAAAAATATTTTATAATTTATTTTTTTTTTCTGCTTCCAAGGAGTTGTGCTCTAGTGATATATTCTCTTGTTCAAGAAGTCATAAAACTCTTCCACTATCTGCTTGGTCATGTTATCAACTGTTGTAGGAGTTTGAGAAGGTTTGATAAATACTGTTAATTCATGAAGGCAAGAAGCTTGTTAATTTCTAAAAAAATAAGGAATTGAGGGTTTTTTTCAGACCCATAAACTTATATTGTGGATTGTAATCTCCACCTGAGTTATTAGAATATGAGTGGAGCCCCAAAAAGTTGGGGCTCCAAAATATAATATGCTCAAACTAGTTTATCACAGAGAGAAATACAATGATCATGATCAGATTAGGGCTGTCAAAAAAAAAAGATATTTTTAAATTTCTGTTACATTTAAGTTTCAGATCAAATGGTTTGCTTTATCA